CTTATTCAACGGCCCCTACCGGGACTTTTTCCGTCTTATCGAAAATGACTTCCGAATTGGGTCTGGTTCCCATAATCGACATAGGGTTCAAATTTGCGGTAAAACTAGGATTACAGCACGTTGCCGACGTGTGCTCGACATGTTCGAAACCTTGCAAAGTCATTTATCGCGACGATATGAAATCCTGTGCAATGAGATGTCAAAAATGCTGGAACAACAGCAGTTTGGAATTCGAAGGAACTTTCAAAGGCGAATTCGGCAAAATTCCCTGGAGTAGCATACTGTCGTTTGTGTGGCATTATCTAGCATTGGATTGCTCGTTTAAATTCCAGATACGTATACCGCAATGGCGGCTCATCTCTGATTCCAACAAACAAAAGGAAACAGTGGGGACGCACGTTCTAACCTAACCTAACCTATTCTGATAAATTATCATAAATATTACCATTTATATTATTAGAATAGGTTAGGTTAGGTTAGGTTAGAACGTGCGTCCCCACTGTTTCCTTTTGTTTGTTGGAATCAGAGATGAGCCGCCATGACGGTATACGTATCTGGAATTTAAACGAGCAATCCAATGCTAGATAATGCCACACAAACGACAGTATGTTACTCCAAGGAATTTTGCTGAATTCGCCTTTGAAAGTTCCTTCGAATTCCAAACTGCTGTTGTTCCAGCATTTTTGACATCTCATTGCACAAGATTTCATATCGTCGCGATAAATGACTTTGCAAGGTTTCGAACATGTCGAGCACACGTCGGCAACGTGCTGTAATCCTAGTTTTACCGCAAATTTGAACCCTATGTCGATTATGGGAACCAGGCCCAATTCGGAAGTCATTTTCGATAAGACGGAAAAAGTCCCGGTAGGTATATCCCTGCCAAAATTCTTTGGAGGCAACGTCCAAATCACTCATTCGGAAGAAAATTAACGAGAAAAAAAAAAACAGAAACTCCTTCAATTTAAACGAAATAACACCAAATTTTTGTAACAAACCGACCTTCTTTTTCGTCGTCACGCAAATCTAACTTTCGCACGCGCACACACCCCTCGTCCGTTTAGCGGAATTAATTTGCATATCCCGCCGCGTTAAAATTCAGCGCCCTCTATCGCAAGCGTAACTCGGTACCCCGATACGTGATTACCGGAAACGCCGCCATCTCGATACCTAGGGTAATATTTAAAAATAATTTTTAACCATACAATAGCGACGATTATTATTTTAAAAAAAATTGTTAAGCTTAATATCGATGAAAATTCAACGCGAAGTTGGTTAATAGCGATATACTAATATCCTAATATACTATACTAATAATGTATTTTTTTCATTCTTTCCGATTATCCGACTTTTTCAGTTATTCCACCAACATGAGTCCCCAATTGAGTCGTATAATCGATGCTCTACTGTATTGTAATTTTGATATCCAATTCTACTCCTCCTCCAGTTACAAAGAGAGCGGATGTCAATCGTCGAAACTTAAGATAATTGACACTGTAATAAAGCACTTATCGGTTTGTTTACGTTAAAAGCGAGTGTGATTCACACCCTTCTGTAAAGGTAATAAACATTTACTATTGTGACCGTGACTTCCACCCGCACTTCTCTCCAATTACAAAGGAAGCCGATGCCAGGCAGTGAAACCTCAGAGAATTTAAACGGAAGTTAAACTAAATATGTTTTTTTTTGCATTTTTGGATCAAATTACAGTAATATAAACATAAGAAGCGTTAGAAGGGAGAAAAATTACATAAATAAACGATATAATCGTATTTTTTGATGGCAGTAATGCTATATTTTTATTAAAACAATGCGATTATATTTAAAAAGCTGTGATTACGATTTTTAAGATTAGTGCTCAACATAATCCGTTTCGAATCCTTCCTATCACCTCCAATAAGTCATACAATGGCGCAGTCCATTTTTAACCAATGGGAGCGCAGGTAGAAATAATTGACAGCTGAAATGACATCACTTACGTGACGTCACGTCACGTCACGATGAGGAAAACCATTTTGCACTCCACATTACATTCTACATGTAGGTATGTTATAATATAAAATTATTTATTTAATTAATTGGTAGATATTCATAATATATAAATTGCAGAAATTTAGCAATATTACTACCTATTTTTAAAAATTTTACGTGTATTAAATTCATTTATATATTTTAATTAATATGTTTTCATTTTAGAGTATTAATAAGTTTCAGTTTCAAAGTTATATTGATTTATTTGAATTTTCCTTTGTCTTTTTAAATTGGATATTCAAACGGTGACGTCAGACAAGGGTGACGTAGGGGAAGTTGTGTTCACGTGACTGGGGTACTGCCTTGTTTCGTTTATAAAACTTTTATTTTCTTTTATAAATGCGAAATGTTATTTTTTTATTTTTTTATTTGTTAACAAACGAATAAGTTATGATATGTTTATATTAAAGTATATCAAAAAGTTTTTATTTATATTATTTTCGATGGAAATGTTGTTTTTAATATAAATAGTTTAATTATTTAAACGTGGAATTGGCTCAGTCATTATGGTAATTATGTTTTATTGTCATTTCGTAAGAATGTTAGTAAATTTCTTAATAAAAATATATTTTATTTGCGATTTTTCGGAATACGTTTAAATAATTCAAAATATTTGCGATAGATGGCGGGACATTCTTAATAGCGATAGATAACTTTACAAAAAATAAATGACTATTTTAAACGAAAGATGGCGCTGTAGAAAATTCAAACTTCATATAAAATATTATTTTCGTGTAACATATAGATGTTTTAATAATCATATATAACGTATTAATGAAGTAACGTTTAATGAAGTATTCTTTCATAGAATTGATCAGAAAAAATATATTAACTATTTTAAATTTTATATTTTTATCCTGACAAAATTTATAAATAAAAGACTATAAATAAAAAGAATTATTTCTGAATTATAAAAAATTATCATATCTTAAGATATGAACAGTTTTGGAGATAAGAATTGAAGAAAACTTGTAATAAATCATCATACAGTTGATCCCCCCTATAACACTGTTGATCATTCCGTTTTATATGAATTCCGTGTTATACGAGTCACTTAGATTTTACAAATACGTGTGCTGTTCAAAGCCCGGCACACGTATTTGTAAAATCTAAGTATAGGGCGTTGATAGGACGCTCTGGGATTGTCGTCTTCTATTCGAAGTGCCCTTAGAAGGTTATGTGGAGCGAAGTCCCTTTCTGTCCGCTCGGCTATGTCCGTATGAGGTGTTTGCTCCGTCGCTCTTTGACTGTGGAGTTCTCCCTGGTGGAGTTCGCTCGGAGGGTTTTTCGGTTAACCTCTTCGAGGAGTAATTCCGGCGTATTTGGAGAGAATGGGAAATATTCGAAGTCTTTTACCTTGTATGGAGCGGCGATTATGAGCTTCGTAGATCCTGAGGTGGAGAAGGCTGGAAGAGTCCGCTTCGTTGTCTCTACCCCGACGATCGCTGTCGAGGTGTCGGATCGTTCCCCTTTTATACCCTTTTAGCGTGGGAGAAATTTGGGATTTTGACAGTTCTCCCGATTTATGATTGTCTCCCCCGTCATTGGTGAGGACATTAGAGACATCTCTTGACCAATAAATATTAATTTCGTCATCAACTGGAGAGATGACTGACCATTTTTAGTAATGTTTCTCACCGTACGGTTGACCTTTGTAGGTGGCCTTTTGTAGTTAATCCGCACACCGCAGGTCTCCGGGGAGATTCCGCGGTCGACTTGGACGACTTCGTCCGTCAAGAAGGTCATTAAATTGCGTCGTTACTCGCTGTCCGGGGTCTATTCCTCGGGCAACGGGGTGAAAACAGGAGAAATAACGGAAATAACAAAGAAAATATTTTATTCGAATTATTATTATTCCAAACTCACATAAGAGAGTCTGGATTCTGACGTTTAGATTTTACAATATTGTAATTGTTGAATACCATTATTTCAGATTTATAATATTATGAATCAGTATCAGCAATCAGAATTGAATTTTAATTATCTCGGTTGCTTTCCTATCACACGCTTATTTATTTTGAAGATACACAGTACGTACGTACTGTATTATTTTAATAATAATAATACAAGTTCGTTACAGTAATACTGTATTACTGTAACAAACTTTCTTTGGTTTATTTGTTTACGCCAACGCGACACTTCAAAGCATCAAAGCTGGGATATGCAAGCTTTGATGCTTTGACGTGTTTCGAGTTATAAACGTGAAGAAAACTCGGAAAACATCACGCGACAAGGCTGTTGTCCTCTTTTATCAACTCCTCCACTGGTTGAAATAACGAAATTAACAGAGATAATGAAACTGGTTACAATGAAATTGATTTACATTTCGTTTCCATTATATATCAACGATATGTAATATAAATAGCTATACAAACTAAATTATACACTATTTTAAAAAATAAATTTGTTAAATACAGGCATTTCCGAATATTCAAATGTGAAAACAATTCGAATATAGGACAATACTTTCCACTAATTTTTAGAAAAAAAATTCGAATATTTATTTTACAGTACTCTGTCCATCCGTATAACCCCAAACAATTTCCACGAACAACACTAAAACACCACGAAAAATCTATTTTCTGGCAATTCACCTTTATTGCATCCTAGAGAACATTACAGTATAATCTACAATTGTCTTATTCACAAATATTAAATGACATCATAAAAGAATATGCTTGTTAGCAGTAACTCAACGAATAAGTCTGTTTACTGCGCTATATTAGAGATCGATTTTACTGTAAAAAATTTTGTATGAATTTAATTATAGGCTATATCAATTCGGCATCACTTTAATATGACTTTTTACTTTATTTCTGATACTTGCCTACTTCTGTACTCGGGCTGTGATACTGAAAGAAATATATAAAAAGTATTCCTCTTAAAAGTTTTTTCTCTTAGTTTTCCTCTTAAAACTTTTAAAGCACGGGAGGTTAATCTTTTTGCATCCTTGGAGCATATTCGAAGAGAAAAGACACGAAAAAAATACGCTAATTGTAGCGATAGCTGTAAGGCAATAAAGTTCGTAAATAACGTACTGTACAATACCGTCGACCCCCCTGTAACACTGTTGATAATTCCATTTTATATGAATTCCATGTTGTACGAGTCACTTAGATTTTACAAATACGTGAGCCGTTTACAGCTCGGCACACGTATTTGTAAAATCTAAGTGACTCGTACAACATGGAATTCATATAAAACGGAATAATCAACAGTGTTATAGGGGGG